GGACTGCACCCGGTAGACTCCCCATGTACTATGTATTTACATCTGAGACTACGGATCGATATTCCGGGAGATCTCCTCGCATTATGAATTGGACTACGGGATGGTATCCCGGGAGATCCACTGGATATTTACATTTGGGACTATAGGATGGTATCCTGGGAGATCCCCGGTTGTTATCTTTGTGCTAAGCTATATTTTTCTTCCGTGTTTACCTTGCCTCTATAGTAGTTGTTGCTGTCCTTATACCCTGTGTTACTTTTACTGTTGTATTATCATACTGCTTATTCTATACTGTTGAACTTTATATTTTATTTAACCTCTATAGGGCCCTGACCTTCCTCGTCACTACCCGACCGAGGTTAGGCTTGACACTTACTGAGTACCGCTGTGGTGTACTCATGCCCTTTCTGCGCATGTTTTTCATATGCAGATCCAGGTACTTTGACTCAATCCTATCACCCTTTAGGCGAGGCGACTGTTCGAGAGACTTCGAGGTATATCTACCGCGTCCGTAGACCGAGGAGTCCCTTTCTACTCTCCCTATTGTATTAGCCCTTCTGTATTTCTTTTCTTTGTTAGATATTCTGGTGCTAGACACTGGTAGTCATTCAAAGATTTGTGGTTTCATCAGATTCCGGGTTTTGGGAAAATGTATTAGTTTTTTGAGAGTTAATATTGTGTATGCCAAGCGGCACTTTTAAACGCTATTTTATTATACTATTTCTGTTTTAAATTGTTTTGTTTCCGCAAATTGGTTTATCTTCCGCATTTTAGGCTTACCTAATTGTAGAAACTAGGTACCGTCACGATGGTTCACGGAGGGTGAACCGGGGTTATGACATACCCATGAACTCACGAGTTCATATATGTGATTAGTTTTAAAATCCGATTCCAAATTCTCAAGATGTTATTTCTCATTTTTTAAAAACTTGACAAAGTTTCACAAATTTCTACTTTAATTCACATGATTTTGATGTTAAAATCTAAGATATGTTGATGGAATATGATTAGAAATAGATTAGAATCACTTACCCAAGGTTTGTAGGTGAAAATCCCCTCTCCAAATCGCCTCCTACCGTGTCTAGGGTTCAAAAATGAGAGAATGAGTTCAAAAAATCCCGTCCCTCAGCTATTTGTCCAGTTGTAGATGTTACAAATGTGACCTAGGGTTCGCAGTTGCGAACCCCGCAAATGTGAATAATTTCTCACAAAAGCGAAGACGTTTCCACCTCTACTCTCATTGCAATTGCGATGAAAAGTTCGCAATTGCAAACGTTGGACCTCTATAAATGCGACCAGGTAGATCGCAAATGCGAACCAACTCTTCCCAGGAACTTATCCAAATGCAAACAGTGGGTTCACAAATGTGAACCCAACAGACTTGGCCTACCTTCACAATTGCGATCCAATAACTTGCAAAACCAACAACTTAATTCTATCAACTCTCCGCTAAGGGTCTGAAACTCACCCGAGCCCTCGAGGCTCCAAACCCAACATCTACAGAAGTCTAAAAATATCATACGAACTCATTCACGAGATCAAAACACAAAAATAACATCTAAAACAATGAATCGAACACAAAACACCAATTTTTCAAGAGATTTTCAAGAACTTCTAGAATTACGACTAAGCATCTGAAACCTATCAAATTAAATCCAATCGACACGAAATTTTACAGACAAGTTCTAAATGCCATAACGGATCTATTCCAAGTCCCAAAATTAAATTTCAAGCTCGATATCTAAAAGTCAACCTACGGTCAAACTTTTTAACTTTAAATTGCCAAATTTCGGTAAATCAACACAAATCAACCTACGGACTTCCAAAATCAATTTCGGGCATACGCCCAAGTTCGAAATCACGATACAAAACTATCAAAGTCATTATAACATAGTTATGGATCATGTTTGCAAAAGTCAAAGTTTGGTCAATATTTTTTAATTTTAAACTTCTAAGTCAAGAATTAATTGTCCAAATCAACTCGAAAGCCTTCCGGAATGAAACTAATCAACCCCACAAGTTATATAAGCATAAACACACATGTTTGAAGCAATAAAAGGGGAAAAGAGGCCAAATTACACAAAATGATCGATCGGGTTGTTGCACCTGAAAACTCCATAAAACCAATTCACAAAGCACTAAAAACTCCTTTGTTAATACCAAAAAGTCCTCCTATAAATTTACTTCTTAGCAACTGCAACACTTTTGTAGCTTTTGAACACAATATGCATGACCTTTCTGAAGTTTCACAAACAGTTCCTCTGATAATTATTGTCTGAAAATTGCAAGCAAAACTAACAGGGGAAGGAATAGAATTTGATTTTGCATTCTAGGAGCAAACAATGTCAGTTGCTACAGTGTAAGTGTACTTTACATAACCTTATTAATCACACGCAACTACTGGAAAAGCATCTCCCAACTATGAGTTTACAACTATCGAATGTATCTCGCACAAAGACTGAATGGATTAATATCTTCATAAATCTTAGCTTCACCAACATATTTATTCAACATTCGATTAGTTCAAATAACAAACATGTTGCAATAAAAAATTTAACTGAAAGAGTAATAATTTAAGAACCAGTTTTTTTAAATATGAATGTAGATCAATATTTACGTAGGAATTAGTGCACAACTGTGAATCCAACTTTCAGAAACAGAAAGTTAAATATTTGTACTATACATAATAGTTTCATTAAGCCGAGTTTCTGTATATTTGCCCTAAAGAAATTAATCACTCGCAACTACCTAAAAATCATCTCCCAACTATGAGTTTACAACTATTCGAATGTATCTTGTACAAAGACGTGAAGTATTAAATTCTTCATAAATCTTAGCTTCACCAACACATTTATTTAAAATTTGATTAGTTCAAATAACTAACATGTTGCTTAAATAAGCAAGCAAACTCCAATAATCTAATTCAGGGAATTGGGAGAATACTATCGCAATATAGACAAAACCAATAACTTAAGGTCGTTAAAAACAATCAATAAAGTAGCCAGCAAAATTAAGCAAATAACATAGTTAACACTTAACCTCCTATACAAAAATTTTAACACATTCCAATGATCTATGATAACCAATACGCAAGCACGCATATAAATTATAAAAATTTGATATTTTTTATATCACATATGCCGCCAACAAACTTCACATAAATTATCTTGCAGAAATACAATCTAAACTAGAATAATAAAGAGAGTTGTATTTAATTATCTGTTACAGAAATTTAAAGATTTGTCATGAAATACTAATCATACCAATCACTTCTTATAGTCCAGAATTTCTGTTTGATATGCACACGAGGAAGAAAGAATAGAACTACATACTGTAAAAGTAGAAAATTGATTTAATAAAATTGTGAAATCATGTTACTGAGAATCGAGCGTACAAGAGTTCGTGGGCGAGGAGTTGAAAGCTTGGTGATTGATATTAGGCTAGATTTATGTCATTTGATGATTGTTTTGCCCCAGCTTGATTATGTTTCAACGCTCTAATATAATTAAATGATGAAAAATGAGCTCTAAATTGTGTTGCAGGAATGAGGAGCTTGTATGAGGCTTTAAAGCTGTGATTGGAGCTACATTGAAGCAAGAAAGACCCCTAGGAGCTGAGTAAGTGAGAAGACGAGAAAAAGAATCGACCAAATGAAGGACTAGACTAGCACGCCCACTAGCGCGTCCACTAGCACGACCGCGCTAGACCAGATGGTCGAGGCAGAATGGTAGGCTACTAGCGCGCCCACGTGCGCGGCCGCGCTATCCCAGTTCCGGAAAATAATTCTTAGGGGTAAATTTGGAAGTCTGGGGGCAAATTCACTTAACCTATAGAAGGTCAAGCTCGCCCAAATAGGGGAGGGGTGTGCAGCTTTTGATAGCTGAGAGCAAGAAAAGGAAAGGCAAGAGGCAAGGAGGAGTATTCTACATCAAGTTCTTCTCTTCTTCCTTTTATTTTTATGATTTGTAATAAATTTGATTATTGTGATGAACATCATTGTTATGAGTAGCTAACTCTTTTAATCAAAGGTTTTGGGTGAACCTGTTGTGGATGAACTTGTTGTTATATTAATATAGTTTTGAGTTGGTTGTTAATCTCTATTTATTCAACTACGTTTTGATTTTGGTTAGTTGAAAGGATCCTTAATTAGCCGTTCCTATTTATTATGTATCTGCTTGAGAGAGAGTGCATATTTAGGTAATTGTTTGAACAACATCACTCCTGGAGTATAGGCGAGAGTCATAACCGAGGGTTTAGAGGTTGGAGTAGAGATAACGATACCTCGGGTGCGATCTAAGTGAGCTGTAATGCAAATCTAGCTAGCGTAGCTTGAGAGAGTGCGTCTAGTAAATTATCATAATTACTTGAGAGAGAGTTATGATAGCTGGAGAGTTCATGATCGATAGAGGCAACTAAATCGAAGCTATAATAAACATACAACTAAGGAATTCAACAACGGGGGAAACCATTACCTTAGACCTTTATTCCAATTGTCTACAACTGCATGTTAGTTAATCTTCATTTATTAATTCTATTAGCTGTAGTAGTGACCATAACACCACTTGTTATTCACAAAGTTTGAGAAGGTTGACTAATAAGAATTTAGTACTTTAAAGGTTTCTCTTGATGCGTTAATTCCTTGTGGGATTCGAGATGGGGCATAACACCCAGATTATATTTGCAACGCCCGCTTAGTCTTTTAATAGGCACAGTTGAGCGTGATCAATTTTGGAACCATTGCCGGGGAATTAACGGTATTATCAATTACGATTGAAAGAAGTACAAAAATTCTTAATGTAGTTAGTTTTCTCTATACCCAATTTTTACATTGAAATTTTTAACGTTTGTCGACTTGGTTGCACAGGTGCATGCCTAGAAACTCATCGAGAACTGGTGAAGTATTTGAAGTATTATCAGATCCCGAGAAAGTTTACAAGGCCTTGAACTGGGCCAACCGGGAAAACAAACAATAACAAACAACTGACTCATTAGAAACAACAATGGGAGATCACGAAGAACACCCAGCTTTACCAATAGTTCCAATGGTACCTGTTGTGCCCGAGGCAGCTCTATATGACTGGGCACAACCCACAGCTGAAAATCTTGCCACCTCAATTTTAGTCCCGCAAATACAAGCTGAATCATTCCAAATCACGAACAACATGTTGCATTTGTTGCAAAACAAGGGACTATTTTCGGGGTCACAAGTCGAAGATCGTCAACAACACTTGAAAAATTTTCTGTCAATCTGCAAAACCCAAAGGCAGCCTAATGTAATTCCGGAAGCATTCAAATTGCTATTATTCCCATTTTCAGTGACAGGAGCTGCCCAGACATGGTTAAACTTACTCCCCATAAATTCCATAACAACTTGGGAGGAGTTAGTCAGGCAATTCGTGAACAAGTTCCACCCTTCCAACAAAACCGCGCAACAGATTGATGACATTTTGAGTTTTAAACAAAGACCACCGAAAACATTGTATGAAACATGGGAGCGTCTTAAAGGGATGTTGGTCATATGTCCGCACCATGGCATAACCGATTTGATGTTGGGACAGTGGTTCTACATAGGATTGTCAGATAGCTTGAAGAACATTGTTGATGCTTCAGCTGGTGGAGCATTTTTGAGTAAAACACGGAGAGAAGGTCAAGGTCTGCTTGACAAGATGGCGCAGAATTCGGGATGGATAACCAGAAATGCACCTATTACGCCAGTGGTGCACTCAGTGCCCCTAGATCCATCCAATTCAATGGCTGAAAATATGACCACCTTATTGACACAGATGAGCATACTCACCAACAAGGTGGAAGAGTCAGGGCAAAAACAACAGGTACATATTGTAGATACTACTAATGGGGGCTTGTGCACATCTTGCATTAGTCAGCCAATTGGTAACCAGTGGAATGCAAAACACGATCATAAGCATTACCTTGAAGATATGAATTATGTGTCTAATTATGGAGGTTAGAGACAGGGTGGTCAGAGTTGGGGTCAGCAGAATCAACAGCAGAGGCCATCCCCATCACAGTTCAATAGTAGGAATATGGGAGGTATGAGACCCCCCAACAATATAGCACCTTACCCAAGGCCACAGGGATACAGTAATCAGAATCAACAGCAGGGGTATCACCCTCCTCAGCAGCAGTATAGTGGAAGGAAGGAAGATGGGTTTGCTAGACTTGAAGCAATGATGCAACAGGTTATTAGGTCTAATGCAAAGATTAGTGAGAGAGTAGATGCACATGATTCAGCGATCAAGAATATTGAAATGAAGATGGGCCAAATTTCGATGTCTCTAAACAATCACCCTCATAGAACACTACCTGCAGATACCTAGGTAAATCCAAAAGATCAAGTCCCGAAGCAGCTGACGGCGGTGAGCCTACGTAATGGCAGAGATTTGGATGTCGAGCAAGAAAGGGCTCGAGAAGCCAGGGAGGCTGAGACACTCATATCAGTGCCCATTGAGTTGGATGAATCAACGAAACTGTCAGAGGTGACAGTCCAGCCTGCCCAGGAAGAAAGTAGCATTCAAATGGAGACCGAGAAGGAAGCTGAGATAGCACATGAACTAGTGGTTGATGTAGCAGCTGATAAAGATCGATCCCAAATGATTGGGAAGAAGAGACCTCCTGTACCCTTCCCTTAGAGGCTAGCTAAGTACCAAAAAAAGGAGCAATACAAAAAGTTCTTGGAGATGCTAAAACAAATCCAGGTAAATATTCCCTTAATTGATGCTTTGAAAGAGATGTCTGGGTATGCAAAACTGATGAAATACTTAATGTCCCAAAAATTTGATTTCCAAGATTTGGCCACAGTTACTCTTACTCAAACCTGTGGTGCAGTGGTGACTAGACCAATTGCGGAATAGCTGTCTGACCCAAGGAGCTTTACAATCCCATGCACTATTGGTGATTTTGCCTTTACTAAAGTACTATGTGATCTAGGGGCCAACATTAATCATATGCCCCTGGCAATTTATAAGAGGCTGGGTACTGGAAGAGCTAGACCCACCTCTATGTTGTTGCAGCTGGCTGACAGGACGGTAAAACGATCCTCTGGTATTCTGGATGATGTGTTGATTCAGGTAGGGAAATTTGTGTTCCCTGTAGATTTTGTAATCTTAGACTGTAAAGTGGATGAAGAGATTCCCATAATTTTGGGAAGACCATTCATGGCCAAGGGTAGAGCTTTAATTGATTGTGAAATTGGGGAGTTAAAGATGAGGTTGAACGATGAAGAGATAACATTCAATGTGTAGAAATCTACGAGGAGACCAAGTGAATTCGCCAATTGCTCTCTTATTGATGTCGTGGATGTAATCGTAGAGATCGATGATGAACTGCTAACTATTAAAGACCCCCTCGCTGCGTGTCTAATGAATTTAGATGAGGTAAAGGGAGAAGAACTGGCTGGATGGTTGATGGCATTAGAGGGTAGATGGTTCTGGGATAGAAATCTTGAATTTGAGCCCTTGCACTTGGAAAACATTGAAACTCCTCCAGCCAAGCCATCAATCGAAGAACCACCAAAGATGGAGTTAAAGCCATTGCCAGCCCATCTCAGCTATGAGTTTCTTGGACCTGACTCCACATTACCTGTTATTATCCCATCTAGTTTGTTAGATGTGCAGGCTCAACAACTTCTGCAGGTACTCAAGGAGTGTAAAACTGCCATTGGATGGACCATGACAGACATAAAAGGGATCAGACCCGCATACTGTATGCACAAAATTCTATTGGAAAGAGAGACACAAACCTTCCAGGGAATACCAAAGAAGGCTGAACCCCAATATGAAGGAAGTAGTGAAGAAAGAAGTGATCAAGTGGTTAGATGCGGGAATTATTTTCCCAATTTCTGACAGTAGCTGGGTTAGCCCAGTTCAATGTGTACCTAAAAAGGGTGGCATGACGGTAGTTAAGAATGATAACAATGAATTGATCTCTACAAGAACCGTCATAGGCTGGAGAATTTGCATGGATTATAGAAAGCTAAATCTAGCCACCCGGAAGGACCACTTCCCACTACCTTTCATTGATCAGATGTTAGATAGATTGGTACGGAGGTCACACTTCTATTTTCTGGATGGATACTCGGGGTACAACTAGATTTCTATTGCCCCGGAGGACAGGGAAAAGACTTTATTTACTTGCCCTTACAGAGTGGTTGCCTTCAGGAGAATGCCATTTGGCCTTTGTAATGCGCCTGCAACATTCCAATGGTGCATGATGGCCATTTTCACAGACATGGTGGAAGACATTATGGAGGTCTTCATGGACGACTTCTCAGTGGTGGGAAATTCATTCGATGAATGCCTAGCAAATTTAACCCGTGTACTGAAGAGGTGCATCGAGATGAATCTAGTATTGAATTGGGAGAAGTGCCATTTCATGGTACAAGAAGGAATCGTCTTGGGGCACTTAGTGTCGAGTAAAGGGATTGAGGTGGACAGAGCCAAAGTCGACATGATAGAAAAACTTCCACCTTCCACATCAGTCAAGGCTATTTGTAGCTTCCTGGGACACACTGGCTTCTACCGGCGATTCATCAAGGACTTTTCCAAGATCACCAATCCCCTATGTAAGTTGCTCGAAAAAGATAACCCATTTGTGTTTTCTGATGATTGTAGGGTGGGTTTTGAGGAACTAAAGAAGCGGCTAGCCACAACACTGATTATAGTTGCTCCCGACTGGGAGCAACCGTTTGAACTCATGTGTGATGCTAGTGACTACCCTGTGGGAGACGTGTTGGGACAGCACAAGGATAAGGTAATGCACCCTATTTACTATGAAAGTAGGACACCAAGTGGTGCTCAGCTGAATTACAGGGTAACTGGAAAAGAAATGTTGGCTGTTGTGTTCGCCTTTGATAAGTTCAGGTCTTACTTGATCGGGTCGAAGGTGATCGTGTACACATATCATGCAGCCATTCGGTATTTAGTTGATAAAAAAGAGTCCAAGCCGCACCTAATTCGTTGGGTGCTGCTTCTCCAAGAGTTTGACTTGGAGATTCGTGATCTTAAGGGCACGAAGAACCAAGTCGCTGATCATTTGTCATGCCTTGAAGGTGCTGAAAATGCAACTGAGTCTGTGGATATTCTGGAAACCTTTCTAGACGAGCAGCTGCTAGCCACAAGTGTGGAAGATGTGCCATGGTACGCTGATATTGCAAACTATTTGGCCTGCGGTATTGAACCATATGGACTCTCCTATGTTCCAAAGAAACGATTTTATAGTGACTGCCGAAACTACTACTGGGATGAACCGCATTTATTTAAAATTTGCATTGATAACATGATCCGGAGATGCATCCCTGAGATAGAACAATGTTCTGTTTTGCAGGCTTGTCACGCGTCACCTTATGGAGGACATTTTGGAGGAGTTCGGACAACAGTGAAGGTGTTAGAGGCCGGGTTCTACTAGCCAACAATCTTTAAGGATGCTCACCAATGGGTAAAGGGCTGCAACGAATGCCAAATAATGGGTAACATATTCCGTAGACATGAGATGCCAATGAATCCAATTCAGCAAGTTGAGGTGTTCGATGTCTGGGGAATTGATTTCATGGGTCCTTTCATCAGTTCTTACGACAATAAGTACATACTTGTTGCGGTAGATTATGTATCCAAATGGGTGGAAGCTGCAACATTCCCCACCAATGATTCGAGAGTGGTGGTGGGGTTCTTGAAAAAGAATATATTCACCCGATTCGGGATCCCGAGAGCCATCATTAGTGACGGAGGCACGCACTTTTGCAATCATGTCTTTGAGAAGTTGCTGGATAAATATGACGTGTACCACAAGGTGGCGACCCTGTATCACCCTCAAACAAGCGGGCAGGTAGAGGTCTCAAACCGTGAGATCAAGAGTGTGCTTACTAAAACTGTAAATGCCACAAGAACTTATTGGGCAAAAAAGCTTGACGATGCACTCTGGGCCTATAGGACTGCATTCAAAACACCTATTGGTATGTCACCGTACAAGTTGGTATTTGGGAAGGCCTGTCACCTGCCTGTGGAGCTAGAACATCGAGCTTGGTGGGCACTAAAGCAATTGAGCATGAACCCTGATGAGGCTGGAGAAAATCGACTGACAAAGTTGCATGAGTTGGAGGAATTCAGATATCACGCCTTTGAAAGCACGAGACTCTACAAGGAAAGAATGAAGAGGCTGCATGACAAACACATTGTGGACAGAAATTTCAAACCTGGAGATAAGGTATTATTGTACAATTCAAGGTTGAGATTGTTTCCTGGTAAGCTTAAGTCCTGATGGTCTGGGCTGTTCAGGGTGACCGAAGTGTTCCCGTCTGGGGCTGTGGAGATAACCAGTGAAGATAGCATTAACACCTTCAAGGTTAATGGACAACAACTCAAACTGTATGCGGGGATGGATAAAACGAAAGAGTTGTTCGTCATACTTCTCATTGAACCACAAAGGTCGAGCGAGCCTTAAATGCGCTTGATCTACATCGTGCCACGACGTTAACTAAGGCGCTGGTCGGGAAGCAACCGGACGGTAGTAGTAGTGGTTAATTGTGAGTTTTTGAAAATGCTAACCAATGCAGGTGACAATGGGCAGGTGATAAGGCAATCGAAAATGGAAAAATCGGGTGAAAAGTGTAAAATAAAATAAAATTTGAAGCCCAATAGCGCGGCTGCGCTCATGAACGCGCTACTGGCCGCGCTACTAGCGCGATCGCACTCCTGAATGCACTAAGACCGCGCTAATTTGGCAAAACATTCTGCTTGGATCGCGCTAGTGAACACGCTAGTGGCCGCGCTAATTTGGCAAAACTTTCTGCCTTGGCCGCGCTAGTCTAGCACGATCGCGCGATTTAAGCCCTTATAAATGATGATTTTTCACCTGTTCTAATTTTTTTTATGATTCAATTTCCTCTTTTTCTTTAGTCTAAATTCCCTCCCCCATCATCTAATAACCCACATCTAACAAACCCTCCCTCCCACCAAACCACACGCCCTAAACACTTCAGAAACCTCCCTAATCTCTCACAACTCAATTTCTTTTCTTCTTCAGCTCCCCTCTTCCAGAAAATTTTCATCTCTTTCAAGTTTCTCTAAGTCTCCAACAACATTCCCCTTTAACCCTCTTCTTTACTCCTCACTCTCACTACAGGTATTTTACTCTTGTTTCAATTTTCTTTCTTTGTTTTCATATAATCTCTGCAGATTTTTGTGTGTTTAAGTGTGCTTTCTTTTATATGGTTATTTTTTTTATTTGTTTGTTAGTAGTAGATTTGATAATAATTATTGTAGTATTTGTGGGTGGTGCGAATTGTAGAGTGTTGTTTTACTTGAATTGTGACCTTTGGAAGATTTGGTAGTGGGTTCATGTTGTAAATTGCTTTGAATGGGTTGTGAGTGCCTAATGCCCACAAGGTGTTTGTGAAAAGGCCTCAATGAGTGTAATTATGTAATTGTGACCACGTATGCGTATGAAGTCTGAGTAACCGCAGTGCGTCATAATTTTTGGTGTTGGGAGGTACTTATTTGTTCTCGTTTTTTAGGTACCATGGCTCCATCGAAGAAACGCCGCACCAACGGTCCATCTCTAGAAGACAAGCCAGCTCATCCAGGACACGCGAGGCTTCCCCTGAACGCCCTTTTGATAATAACAAATTTGTCTCGGCTAAAGCCCAGGACCGCTTTGCTGAGAAGGCTTCTAAAAAGCCAATTCCTGAGAGGGGTATTGACGTCCGATCGCTCCAGCGAAATTGCCCTCACATGTACGATGAGCTGATGGGACGGGGGCTACAAACATTCATTAATGAGCCCGGTGAGGGTAATGTAATGGTTGTGAGGGAATTTTATGCCAACGCGCCTGAGCATGACAATGGCATCGTCACAGTACGACGGAAAGCGGTGAATGCCTCTGTTGAGGCGATAAGGACGACATACCAGCTACCCCCTCCTGTGATTGATTATGATGACTTTTATGAGTATGGCCGTAACCCAACACAAGAAAAGTGGTAGCGATTCTTTGAAACAATCTGTGCACCAGGGAAAGATGTGGTTTGGATGAAATATGGTGAGAAGTTCCACTCCTCCGCACTCACTTTTGAAGCAAAATGCTGGATGTATCTCATCAACAACCGTTTGATTCCATCCCACAATACTACATAGGTAAATGGGCCCAAAGATGCTTTAATTTGGTGCTTCGTCAATGGACACAACTTCGACGTGGCTAAAGTAATACATGACGAGATGTTCATTCGCATCCGAATAAAAAGGTATGGATTCTTCTGCCCTTCTTTAATAACTCAGCTTTGCACGGATACTCGAGTGCCCGAAAATCTAGCTGCGGATGGGCTCGTAAAAAAGGACCGCAAGTTCCGAGCGGACAAAGTAACCATGGGTAAGGAGCCAGTAGCAGTAGAGAAAGAGAGTAGTGGTAGCTCTGACGACTCAGACGACGAGGATGAAGAAGCGGAGAATGTGAGGGCCGAACCCCAGGCCACAGAGCACGCTGTAGAAGCTGTAGTACCATCTAGGGCATCCATATTTTCACAGCCACACAGGAGCACTTGCATGACCAATTTGGAACAAGAGATGGCTGAGTTACGTGCTTCAGTCACAGATTTAGGTGTTCGTGTTGAGGTGGTGGCTGACAGGTAGGTAAAGTTTGAAAAGAAGTTCTTGGGCTGTTTGAGAGCTCTGGGACGCACGTGCAACGTGAACCCAGACACCGTCTCCGACCAGGAGTGAGCCTTCAGGGAAGTACCTCTACCTCACTGTTCTTTAATTTTTATAGCCATGGGGACATGTCTTCAATACAAGTGTGGGGTGGGGATACTTCATTGTATATATGTAATTGTAACCTTTGACTAGCTGATTTTGGTTGGTTTTGTTTTGTTTTGATTGTTTTGGTTGTTTAGCTTTGATTGCTTTGGTGTTAAGTAAGAGTTATTTAGTTTAAAGTAGGTAAGTAGCTTGGACTAAGTCGAACAAAATAAAATAAAAATGAAGACTCTTCCTGATGACGGATCCTTTAGATAATTTTCTTGAGGGAAGTTAGTATAAAAAAAAATACAAAAAGATTTTTTATTTTCTTTTTAGGTAGTGTAGTAACTCCCCCTTGGTTTTTCTTTGGGTCACGATTCTTTTTCAAGGGTTTATCTTGAACCGGGTATAGGTAATTTTTATTCATTTTGTTTTCTTTTTAATTTTTAAATTAGGATTAATGGGCTAACGAGCTGAATTCGAAAAGAAAAGCCTCTAGCGTTATTACACCTAAACACAATAGACACTAGAGTGTAACGCTTATTCTCAGTAGTTGATTCTTACTAAAATTCCTTAAATTGTATATTTGTCACTGACTTGGATACTCAGAAGAGAGTGTCTTGATAAGCCAATCTTGAATGAGTCATGTGCCATATGTGTGAGTTTTACTGTATTCCATGATTCACATTTGATGCCTAGAACTTGCCCTGTGTGTTTGCAACGTGAAATAGTAGTTTCATTCAGTCTTAGAAGTGATATAGGCAATTCCTTGTTGAGCCAGACTTATAAAGTAAACTCACCTAACTGCAATACATCTTAGTTAACCCCGTTGAGCCTATAAGCCTATTTCTTTGGCAACCACATTGTAAACCTTACCCAATTGTTTGAATAGCCTGCTGTTTGAACCCTCTTTCCTCACATAAGCACTTGAATGGTATTGAGAATTATGCAAAGGCAAAAGTGTGGGGTGGGGTTTGGTTTTTGAGTGGAACCACTGAAATCGAAAAAAAAGGTGTAGAATTTTGTCGCATAAAAGATGAAGCAACACAAAAAGAAAAGAATAATATAGTGGTTGAGAAGTGGTGGTTTGCTATAATTGCCCCTAATGGATGGGGTTGTTGTAAATAAAAGAACGGTGGTGAAATGTTTGGTTGACAGAAGTATGGTTTTGAATATTAACGTAATTGTATTAAAAAGTGCTTAGGGAGGTTAGTCACTATACCAAATATATCCTACCCGTCCCTTAGCCTACATTACAACCAAGTGAAGTCCTATTGATCTTAGACTGAGTGGCTCAATTAGTAGAGTAGTACACTACGGGCAAGCTTATGGTGCATCTTTGAGACATGTGAATGTTCTTTTTTTTTGAGAGTGAGTGAATTTCATCTATCTAAGTTCCTAATTGTTCTAAATATCATTATATGTGGAACTACTCTCTTGTGTGAATGTGAGGGCATGTGATTCATGAAGAAAAGACAAGTCTTGACTTCTGAGTAGAGTAGCTTGAGAAAGTATGAATATTGCACGACACGTGAGAGTCAACTTTTGAGGCTAGGATTGTTCACTACTAGGCGTAACTCATGTGATTTGTTCTTGGTGTGATGCATTAGGGAAGAATGCTTAGTGAAGGAACCTCTATAAAGGGTGGTGGATTGCTTGAGGACTAGCAAAGATTTAAGTGTGGGGTGTTGATATTAGGCTAGATTTATGTCATTTGAAGATTGTTTTGCCCCAGCTTGATTATGTTTCAATGCTCTAATATAATTAAATGATGAAAAATGAGCTCTAAATTGTGTTGCAGGAATGAGGAGCTTGTATGAGGCCTTAAAGCTGTGATTGGAGCTACATTGAAGCAAGAAAGACACCTAGGAGCTGAGTAAGCGAGAAGACGAGAAAAAGAATCGACCAAATGAAGGACTGGACTAGCGCGTCCACTAGTGTGACCGTGCTAGCCCATATAGTCGAGGCAGAATGGTAGGCTACTAGCGCGGCCATTAACGTGCCCACGTGCGCGGCCGTGCTAGCCCAGTTCCGGAAAATAATTCTCAGGGGTNCCGCGCTAGCCCAGTTCCGAAAAATAATTCCTAGGGGTAAATTTGGAAGTCTGGGGGGGCAAATTTGGAAGAGTGGGTGTGCAGCTTTTGATAGTTGAGAGCAAGAAAAGGAAAGGCAAGAGGCAAGGAGGAGTATTCTACATCAAGTTCTTCTCTTCTTCCTTTTGTTTTTATGATTTGTAATGAATTTGATATTGTGATGAACATCATTGTTATGAGTAGCTAAATCTTTTAATCTAAGGTTTAGGGTGAACCCATTGTGGATGAACTTGATGTTATATTAATATAGTTTTGAGTTGGTTGTTAATCTCTATTTGTTCAACTACGTTTGATTTTGGTTAGTTGAAAGGATCCTCAATTAGCCGTTCCTATTTATTATGTATCTGCTTGAGAGAGAGTGCATATTTAGGTAATTGTTTGAACAACATCACTCCCGGAGTATAGGCGAGAGTCATAACCGAGGGTTTAAAGGTTGGAGTTGAGATAACGATACCTCAGGTGCGATCTAAGTGAGCTGTAATGCGAATCTAGCTAGCGTAGCTTGAGAGAGTGCGTCTTGTAAATTATCATAATTACTTGAGAGAGAGTTATGATAGCTGGAGAGTTCATGATCGATAGAGGCAACTAAATCGATGCTATAAGAATCATACAACTAAGGAATTCAACAACGGGGGAAACCATTACCTTAGACTTTTATTCCAATTGTCTACAACTGCGTGTTAGTTAATCTTTATTTATTAATTCTGTTAGCTGTAGTAGTAACCATAACACCACTTGTTATTCACAAAGTTTGAGAAGGTTGACTAATAAGAATTTAGTACTTTAAAGGCTTCTCTTGATAAGTTAATTCCTTGTGGGATTCGACATGGGGCATAATACCCCGAATTATATTTGCAACGCCCGCTTAGTCTTTTAAAAGACACAGTTGAGCGTGATCAATGATAGATCATGGGATTGAAATGCCGAATCTGTAGGATTGCTATGTTTCGGGAAAATAGGTGAAGGTATGGCGTCATATTACATTCCCAATTACTGTTTCAGAATAAATAAATTATTAAATGTTGACATTATCGTGTCTTTAAAAAAGATATACTTTTTTATTTTTTTCAAATTAAAATTTAAAAAGAGAAACTAATTTTACCTAAACTAACTAATTTTTCCTAAAGTTTCTACATGGCATTTTATGCATGCAACAATTGGCAAAATTTTGTGGCTGACTTTTTTCCTTTTAAGTAAATATAGTGATCACTCCCAACTATGCCTTATAAAAAGAACAAAATGGTCGTTGCAAATATAATCCGATTTAAGAGTCCGGAATTGAATCCCATAGAGAACTAAGTGTCACGACCCAAAAACCAACCTAGTCGTGATGGTGCCTATCGTGAAATTAGGCCAGCCAACTGATTTTCAAATAATCCATATTTCATTTAAAACATAAGTAAAACCATGTTTCCAAATGAAATCCGATAAAAGATATAAATTAAAAGCCAAAACAAAGCGGAAAATAATAGCCCGACTTCGGGTGTCACTATGTCAACGCTACAATAGTTCCGAAACAAGATAAGACCAAAATAGTCTGAAAATAACAGTAAAGTACTAATAGGAATATAGAGAAGGAGAAAAGCGGAACTGCAATCACCAGGCAACTACCTCACTATCTCCAGGGAAAGTCCATAACTAAAACGATCAGCAACCGGTACCGTGGCCCGAGATACCTGAATCTACACACAAGGTGCAGAGGATAATGTGAGTATACCAACTCAGTAAGTAACACACCCAAACTATGGACTGACATGTAGTAACAAACCAAACCTCAAAAGGTAATACCATTAAATTGTACAGAAAAGTAGACATGCTTGCAGTTCAAATAAAAACCCAACAGAAAATGAATGTAGTCTGAATAGTGCATCATATAAAGCTCAAGAAAATCAATATATACCAATGCACAGATAACATGATCAATATTCCGTGTACCTTCATTCTCAAGTGCTCAACCACTCGGTACTGTATATGGCCATCTGGCCCAGGGAAGATCCATCCGGGAATATATATATAACACTGACCGCAGTCATCCAGTACTGAGGAAGGCCATTCCAGCCCTATAAAGAAGATCCATCTCTAGGTATAAATACTTCAGACAAGATCTATGTCCAGGGAAGACCCATCCCTCGATATCTTCAACTGCGCTCACTGGGGGTG